AACACAAGATAACAAAATAAAAACAGGTTCCGTATAAAAGATTTTTTTTTTCATTCTCTAGACTTGGACGAATGTGCTGACGGAACACACAACTGTGATGTGAATGCTGAGTGTAACAATACCCTGGGATCGTACAACTGCACGTGTAAAGATGGATTTCGTGGAAATGGAACCAAATGCATAGGTAACTGTTATTTTATCATTCTATCTTATCTTTCCATATTTTTCTGATGGACATAGCACCAGACTTAAACTTGTACAAGAGTATAATGTCCCTAATTTCTGTACGGTATTCTACCGGCAGCAGGCCCAGCAGTACGAGCCCATCAGCATAAGAGACGTTACTCGGTGGGTAGTTAGGAATAAACTTAGTTGGACACCTTTGGATTTTCTCAATTAATGCTCCATGTATGACTGTATAATAAAGAGACCATAGGCAGGAGCATTATTCAAGTTTGGGTCTGACCACAGGACAGCACAGCAGCTTCCTTATCTAAACGTCATTGACATCGCGGAAAACTCGCCTGATTCACGAAAGGTTTTGTTGGCCTTTGAGGTTATTTCTCCTGCATGCTCTGCCCATTGGAGATCACGGGAATCAGTGATGCTTAGGTCTTAAGCGTAAGGTACACACTCGAGCGATGTCCTTCTTAAAGATGTGAACGAATTTGCATTTTGCGGCGTTGAAAGCTATGCAGCTTGGTGAATTTACCAGTTTCCGAGGAGTTACCAGCAAGAGTGACAGCATATTTGCGGTTGAAAGTAGATTCTATGATCATTACCAGAGCCAGTGCGAAGATACCGTCATGAAGATAACCATATCTGCCGAATTTACAGGAATACTTTTTTGTAAGCGGTAGTGTGCAACATTGGCAATACCCAAAGTAATTTGACAATTAATTTCTTAGCAGTACGATAACTTTCCCTTTCATTTTGCGATTATTATACAGGATTTACAGCAGTGTTTACAACTCTTGGTAAGAGTGGAACTACTGGTCCAGTCCAAATTGGAAATCACTACACAGGTCAGGATCACGACGGGCAAGTTACATTGTCCAGCGGTATTCAACAATGGACTGTGCCACACACTGGCGAATACAGAATAGAAGCAATAGGAGCCTCAGGGGGGTACGGTGAGGACAGTATCATCAAGAACGGTGGAAGAGGGGCACGAATGATTGGAAACTTTATTTTGACCAAAGATGAGATCATTCATATACTTGTTGGTCAAGAAGGGGAAAAAGGGAAGAACAACTCAAAAACTGCTGGAGGTGGTGGAGGTACATTTGTTGTGAGACGAAACAACACGCCTTTAATCATAGCTGGAGGTGGAGGGGGAATCAAAAATATGTCAGAACAACATCCGGCATGTGATGCGTCCATAAACACCACTGCAAATGCAGGGAACAACTCGCCACTGGGGTCAGGGGGAATAGAAGGACAAGGAGGACTTACTAATGGTGGAGAATGTGGTTGGTGGAGAATTTGCTTTTTATAAATACTGAGAAACTTGTTGCATTCTACTGCCATCCTTCACTATCTCCGATCCAACCCAATGATAGAGTAAGTCGCTGATAATCAAATTTGGAGGATTTATAAAAACTGTAATTATCAAAATTCTCAACATTAATTTTGAGGATTTTCTTTGATGATTCTTTTGGAAGCTAGTGCCTCATGTAAGACTTAAGATTCTGTTAAATTTTTCCTCTTTACTTTTCAAATTTCCTGTATATTTAGTAATTATCGACATGGATCCGCGAATATACCGCAGGAGATGACATCGAAAAACTTGACAAGACTTCTCATTCGTTAATTGCGGATCTGAATTAAACAGAAGCACCAACTAAAAAGTTAATTGCAGCATTTTTGCGCTGACTTTTCCTCGTGAGCTTTTTTGTTGCTAACAATCTCCACTAATTAAACTTTAAAAATAAAGAACTAAACTAAGTTTCGGAACACTGCGGATCGTCGTTTGATCGCGAGAAATTAAATGTATGGGTGCTATTTTTAAGAGAATCACTGATCACTTTTTGATTGTATTGCAGGTGGTGGTGGTGGCGGCTTCCATAGTAATGGACATAATGCAACGAGCTCTAGTAAAGGAGGGGGAAAAGGAGGTTCAGGATATCTTCAGGGGGGAGAGGGTGGAAAGATTTTTGGTGGGTTCGGAGGTGGCGGTGGTTTACGTATTTCCAACAGGGGACCCGGCGGTGGTGGTGGTTTCACTGGGGGAAGTGGCGGGGCTAATGAGGATATTTCCTGTGGGGGAGGGGGAGGATCTTTTAACAATGGAACAAATCAACAAAATGAATGTTGCTATGATAGCGCTGGTCATGGCTGGGTAAACATTACATTTCTCCGATGAAGAGCACATAGCAACTCTTGTTATCGTGCACAAAAAAAGTTGTGAGTCAGTTCTTCATCTTCTTGTGCATTTCAATCCCCCTATTTCCCCGAATAAGCACCCGGGCTCTAATTTAAAGTTTAAGCTTAAGTGGGGGTCCTCATTGGAAAGTGGCGCCTATTAAGAAACTATTCTAACTGAAGCTTAAAAAGTTATATATAAAATGGAAATAAACACAGATTTTCCTCGTATCCAAACTGTTTGACAAAGTGAGAAAAAAGGAGGGGGGCGCTTGTTTGATTTTAGGGGCTAGGGGTTGGCCGCTTATTGTGGGGGGGGGGGCTTATTAGAGCGTGGGTGGTTATTCGAGGAATACGGTATTACATATATCTAAAAATGATTTTCTGTTGACTATGAAAGTTTATTATGAAATCCTTTTTTTTCCCTTGATCAACTCAAAACTAAACTCATTTTTCAATTTTCATACGACCAATTAGGCCCATTATCTTTGTTTTTCCGCCCTTTGGGCCGACTGAATTTCCTCTGCCATTGGCGCTGGTTGCAAACTATCCTCAAAAATAGGGGCTTGGTTTGTGTTACGTATGGCGTCCTTGGTTACTATCACCAGAATCCCCCATTTTCGAAATGTTAAATTTAATGTTACGATTCCCAGTCAATTGGCAAAACGTTCTCATTCACCTCTAACGGTTTCCTGCAAAATGGAAAACCGGCACAGGGTTGATACCAACTTGTAGATGTGACTATGGTCAGTGTTGTGTTCCCTGAAGTATATGGGGGGGGAAGGGAGGGAGGGTAACAAAGGATATATTTTACAGATAGAGATGACTGAAATACATGAAATACGCTCGAGTTAACCGAGTTTGAGTTTGCGGCGTTCTAAAACGAGACTCAGTCATCGTCTCAGTGGTCAGGATGAATAATTACAGATTTGTTTCCTTTCCCATAATGCAGGGTAGAAGAGCAGTTATATATACCAAGGTGATGGCACGTTCAATTTCAAGCAAAATCTTATTTAGTTGTTAGATTGTTATTTTTATGTCAACATTTAGAATAGTTTTTCAGGAGGCTCTTGTGCTCTTTCATTAAAGTGGAGGAGAATGCTATAATTGGCACACAGAGAAAAGATGTTTGTGCCTGATAGCGACCAGAAATTAAATGTTTTAAAAATTTTCATGTAAAAAAACTTAGAAAATTGCTTTATAGGAGTTACAGAAAGGATCTCTCATTTGTTAGTGTTGACAGAAGAGTACTTGCTCATAATCTTAATTTAAGTCTCTGTGGTAACATGTTGATAACCACAGTTGATTTTAAATAAACTAATTGTTTTGCTATTAATAGTTGTTTTGTTGTTGTTTTGTCAGAACTCTGATTATAGTGTTGAGACTTCTGCAGTGTCCCATCGAAACTCCTTTGCAATTGGCTATTTTGAAAAGGGCACAACAACTAGCGAGAAGATGATTAACTTCCAGTCTCCTTTGTAGCCATTCTCTGGACGTAGGAGACTAGGCGACTTACAAGTCTGCCATAACTCTGAAATTCCTTTGCAATTAGCGATATTCAAGAGGGTACAACAGCTAGTGAGAAGGAAAGGGATGGGAGGGGAGGGCGGGGCGATTTCAGTGTTGGTCCTGCAATGTATGTCACTTGCTTTATGTTACTTGCTTTAGATAACGCTGCCACAAGTTTGACGCTTAAACAATAAACCTCTAATCACTACATCATAATATGCTCTCCTTTTTATTTGTTCAAGAATAGTCCATTTTACAATTATGTGCTTGGTTGCCAAGCCTCTGAACAGGAGTGAGGTTAAGGTAGACCTTGTTATGATACAAACCTTGCTGCTTTTCAAATGCAAATTTCTTTATTATCATGCTAACTAGATACTGGTCTCTATCACAACAAGGTCACCTCCAGCCTCACTCCAAATCAAAGGCTTGGCAACTAAGTACACAACTGTAAAATGGCCTATTACTACACCGGGCATTTTTCCAACTATTGTAGAGCTAAAAAATTCATTCTCTTTGATACATTATTTATAAATACCGCGAATTTAACGAAATGAATGACAACATTATTTTGAGTGTTTTTTTTAAACACAGATGTAGTTTTATTTAATATAACTTCAATTTAAACACCAGAAATGACAACACAGTAAACATGAAATAAACAACCTGTTTCTAAATAGTGTTTATTTCACCCATTATATTCACCGGCCTGTTCTTGTATTTCTTGGATATTTCTTGAGAAATCTGAAAAAGGAAAATGGATAACGACGAAGACATGGTTGATAGGGCAGCAAAATACATATTTTACATAATATATAATGAAACTAGCTTATCAGGTCTGATAATGGCTTTTGTCGGGGGGTGGGGCATTTTTTACCGTATTACCAAAAGTGACTCAGATGAGGTCGACAATTGGACACAGAATAGACTGTCACAGGTAGAGGTTGGTATATTGTCAGGACTTCTGTTTCCTTCACTTCCATTCCTCTTTCAGAGAAAGGCAGAAGTCAGACAAATCTCAAAACAGGTGACACGCAGGATCTTCACGCAAACGTGTGGAACATGGCTATACTCGAGACGCGCATCTTTACTAAAAGCTTTTTAACTCCTGTCATCTGAAATAAGACCTGGCCTCTTACTTTCCCAAGGCGTTATGTGTCATAAGTAGCTCATGATGGCCGTTGTCTAGCAAATGTTTTAGTGTTCAAAGCCGGGGATTCAAACAACAAATAATCAAATAACAAATTATGACTTTCGAAGGGTTAGCCATTTGCACGCTAGCCTTTAGTCCTTTGCACCGAGATTCAGACTACTGCTTGAAACGTCAAATTTTCGAAATCCAACACAAGTACGGCCTTTTATTTCCAAATTGATAATAAACTTCGCACTTCCCCTGCCCCCCGACACAACACAACAAATTAATTACACTGAAAGTAGTAACTTTGCTGTCTTACCTGTTCTTGTAGTTCTTTTGTTTTAGTTCTGATAATTTCAAGTTTAGGTTCCAAGTCTCTCTGTTCTATGGTGGCCGCCTGTCGTTTATCAGCCATCACTTTAATGGACGTTACCAGTTTTTCTGAGACTTTAAGTTTTTGCTGAAGGGAATCAGCTAAGCGGTCCAGGTATCTGGAAACAGAAAGGACCATAAGTTATTGATTAAAATACACAAACGCTTGCTCGCAATAAATAGAGAACGGCGGCAATTTGATCTTGACCTTCAACCGACGACATTTCGGACCAATCGCATAGGAGATGGGAGTAATCCACATATAAATTCTTGTTACAGTCTTAATACGATGTCACATAAATAGCTAATGAGAAAAAGAAAATTAGCAACTAAGGATATGTTTTTCGATTAAACTTCTAATATGACAAAAGTATGACGGTCAGTAAGGATCATCAAAAGTGAGATCTGAGGACTGATTGGTTATTAACATTACCGAGGAGAAGTTTTAAGTAAAAACAAATTGTGCATCTTCATTGAAGTGAGGGTCGACAGAACATCTGTTACAGTGGACTCCATGGATTGGACTGATTCCACTGACTGCATTTGAATTAGCTGAGGAGCCGACTGAAACTAGACACACAAACAATAGAAATTACAACCAAAACACATTTTATATATATATATATATATATATATATATATATATATATATATATATATATATATACATATACTACCTCCATCTACTACAAATTGCTTAGCTTGCCACTAGCTTAAGAGCTCTCTTGTAAGATAGTGGGTAGAGCTTGCAAAATGTAACATCTATTTGAACAGAAACTCTGATAAGTATTATAAACTGGATGACCACAAGCACAGTGTAAGATACCTGATTGGCTGACAAGACATCAGAATCACTCTTCATCTCCATCAGTCTCTGGCGTAAGAAACCCTGAAGCTGTAGAAAGAAGAGTGCAAAGAAATCTTGCTGAGAAAAGAAACATTAAATAACAAAAAGGATAAACAAAATGTACATGACACTCACCTCCAGGAGCTCGTCAATTAAGAGATTTCTTGTTTGAGTTGTATCCATTAAAGTCTCGGCATCTTCACCACTTATCACTCCTCCTTCATCTAAAAAATAACGTCACTGCTCTTAACTTGCTTATCTACACATTATTCATAAAACTTAAATTGCAATAACGCAAATGAAAATGCACCACGTTGTTACTGACCTTGACCAGATCCTTCCAATGTAATTCCTCCACTATCCACTGTCACCTCATGGTCAGCAGTCCCAGTGTCATCTCCCCAATCAATAGCACTGTCCTGATTATCCTGCCCTGTTTCACCCCAGTCAATAGTCTCACCACTGTCCCCCCAGTCTATCCCCCCTCTGTCTTCCTCACCACCCTCCCCCCAATCAATATTATCTGCCCCAGTGTCAGTGGTGGTAACAGTTTCAATGCCCCAGTCAATCTGTAGGAACAGAAAAAAAAAAAATATATATATATATATACAGGATTATGATATTAAACATTATAATCACAAAAGAGAAATACTTTTAATTGTAGACTGTGACATTTATTCAACTGCTAAACTGCTAGTCTTTGCCAGGCCATGATGATAAATTAATCCTCCTCCTTATTTAAAAAGCAAGATAGTAAGCCACTATTGGTACATCTTGACACACTCTTATTTGGGTGTTTTCATCATAATTATGAGTGCAAGAAGTCTATGTTGTTCCCTCGTACATGTATGTCCACTTTTGTTGCTGACTGCCTGTTCTGCTCTTCTTGTGCTTTTGGAGTTTCAATTCTGTTGGCTGTGTTGATGACTTATCTGAGTGAAATCTTACTAAGATGCCTTCTTTAACTCCATGTTGTTAATTTGCTTCATGATTGAACTTGTAACAGCCAAACCATGATACATTGTAATTCCTGGTCCATGTAATGCATGCATGTACCTAATTTATTCATCATATAAGAGGAAATTGTTTAACTTATTTATGTCAAATGTCAACACTCTTAGTCATATCAATAATAAATGTTAGGTTTTTTAATAAAAAAAATTACACATTCAAAGTCACTCACATCCCCACTTTCTTCATTTTCTACATTTGTTGTCTCTGGTCTTTTGTCAGGAATAATAACCTTAAATTAACAAAACAAAGATTTGTTACACATATTCATACATTTTATCAGGAAAACGTTGGAAACATTCATACCGATGGTATCTTGCCAGTCCTCCACTGATAAACTGTGCTGTTACCATGCTTTTGGATGTGTCGCACAAGTGGTGTAGTCACCTCAGAGCTCTCTTTCTCATTGTTATAACTGAAAAATAATAAGTATACCCTTACTTGTAAAAGAACAATTCCAGCTGAGAAACTTACTGGTAGTACCTTAACTAATCAAGTTTGAAGTCACGACTTAAAGTTATGGACCAAGAATTTTCCCCTCAGAAAAAAAACAAGGTTCCATAACGTACAGTAAGTATCAAGAAAACCAGGTTAGTAAGATAATAATTACATCTCTGTGTTCAAATAAAGGTAGAGAGATTTCAATTCAAATAAACTTTGGAGTATAGTGGGTTATTCAGTGATAAACACCTGCTAAATGCTTATGTACCAACTAAGAGATACAACGTTCACTAATGGAAATTAACCTCACATTTTTCATTCCTGTATGAAAACCTATAGGAACTTCTGGTGAAATTGAAAGTGTTAAATATTTTTTCTTACTAAAGAATACCCCTGTGAGACCAAAGATAGCCCTACGACAGAATGGGGTTGATGACTAAGCTATTAATTAAAAATACACAAACATGTGCTTGCAATAAATAGAAGAATGGTGGCAATAAGAGAGCTGCCTTATTGTAAGACCTGTGCAGATGCAGCTAAAAAATCTTTACGACTCAGAGAAATCGGTGATATTGACTGTCCCTTCTGACAACCACCCTACCTCCCTTCCTCCCTTCCTCCCTTCCCCCCTTCCTCCCTTCCTTCCTCCCTCCCTACCTCCCTACTCCCTTACCCCTTTACCCCCACCCAAAAACTACATGTAGGAAAGCTTCTGGACGGTACATAATGTAAATGCCTATATCAAGCATTTTTAAGTATTTCAAATTTATACCACTATATTAACAGTTTTCTCCAAGAACAGCATGTTCACCAATGACAAAAGCTATGAAATGAGCATTCAGGCATGGGTTTGCACTCAGAACGTGACAACTGGTAACAAACAGGCACCTTAGCTGATTCTACCAAATTACAATACACTGAGACTGAATTTACTTTGAACAAATTCCCAGGCTGTTGCGACAGATGTATCTATCTACGAAGTGTCAAATGGCTATTTTGATAAATAAATTCTGTAGGAAAATGATAAATCATTTATATATTCCAATTATGAAGTTGCATTGGTAACAGCATATTGGGAAGGTCAGTTTGAATGGCGATTGCAACACACAAGTTTGCTTGTCGTTGGTAGCCATGTAGTATTTTAGTGCTACTACATTGTGGCCTATTCTTTAAAACAATAAACCGCCAACAA